AGGGAAGGGAAGGGAAAGAAAAGAGAAATTTTAAAAAAGCCTGACAAATTACCTCTATTTTAAGGAACTCCATGGAGCATCTCTGCTCTATAACACACGGGGTAACTGTGAGGCAGAATCACCTTAATGACAATTGGTTGAGCTTGACTTAGGGACAGATGGGCGTATACCACGGGTTTAAAGTGGAATTTCTTTTGATTTTTTATTTACTTTTTCATAGTAAGTTTAGGGCCTACCATCAGGTATTATTCCTGGAAAAGGAGACAGCTGTCCATGTAACTAACCAGAGCCTTCTTAGGTTTCTTGACCTGGATCTGCTACATGGATGAATGGACTATTTGTGGATAAAGCTGGATTACAAGGGAAACTCTGTAGGTTCATTAAGGTCAACCTCGTGAACAATAGACAGATTGATTTAATATATTTAGGTTGTATTAGACAGCTTATAGAACTCTTGCTAATTTCCCTAAGAGGTAAGACAACAGAGGGGTGGTAAAAAGGAATGCTAGAAGAATTTAGGCAAAGCTAAATTTTACACTACATGAGGAAGATTAAGGTGTGCCTGATTCAGGTCATGGTCTTTTCAGTCATTTGCTGTGCATTTGAGAGCTGGACAATGCATAAGGATGACAGAAGAAAAATTGATGTAGTTGAGTTGTGTTGCTGGTGAAGAGTCCTGAACATTCCATAGACTGCCAAAACATATGTTCTCGGAAAGAGGCAGCCAGCATGCTCCTTGGAAGTGAGGATGACAAAACTTCATCTCTCACACTTCGAACATGTTGCTGTTGTTTTTGTTGTTAGGTGCTGTTGAGTCAAGTACAACACATAACGACCCTCTGAACAACAGATATGAACCCTATCCTATCCTGTGCCATTCTCACACTTCACACACTACAGCCCAGTGTGGCAGTCACTATGACAATCCACCTGGTTGAGGGTCTTCCTTTCCTTTGCCGACCCTCCATCCTTCCAGGAATCATGTCCTTCTCCAAGGAATAGCCTCTTCTAGCGACATGTCCTAAATATGTGAGGTAAAGCTTTATCATTCTTGCCTCCAAAGAGCACTCTGGTTGCACCCTTTCCAAGGCATATTTGTTTGTTCTTTTGGCAACCCATGGGATGTTCAGTACTTTTCTCTAACACCACAGCTCAAAGGCATCAATTCTTTTTCTGACATCTTTGTTCATTGTTCAGCTCTCAGATGCATAGCAAGTAATTAGAAAAACCATGGGCTGAATCAGATACATCTTGGTCTTCAAACTGAAGTCATTACTCTCAATAATTTGGAGAGGTCCTAACTGCAAACTTTTCCCATGCAATATGTCTCTGCTGGTACTAAGAGTGTTAATTGTGGATCCAAGTAAGATGAAGTTGTTGACAGTTTCAATATTTTCTCTTTTGGAAGGTGAAGTGGCATCCACTTCCTAAGTGACATACCTCCAGAAACTCTATGAATTTTTATAAATGTTGATAGTTGTAGAGGGGCTTGAGGCCTTTTGTTCATAGGGTTGCTATGAGTCATGTTCAATTTGAAGGCAATAAATAACAACAATAACATCATGATGTTGCCTATTGGTCTAGTGTTAAGAATCTCTGGAAACAGGATTGGCCACCCACTTCTTAAATAATGGACCCCTGAAAACCCTATCAGTGGTAGAGTACATGTTGCTAGGAGAGGCTATTCTTAGGAAAAGGATATTATGTTTGGAAAGGGAAAGGGATCCCCAAAGAGAAGGAGGTATCTCCAAGTTCTGCCAAGAAATCTGGAGGACAATCACTTGGCCAACTGACTGAAAGAGGTCTATATTTGTTTCCATTCCAAAAAAAAAATGTGACCTGAAAGAATGTGGAAATTATTGAACAATATCATTTCTATCATATGTAAGCAAAATTACTGGAATATTACATCAACTGAGAACTGCCAGATGTGCAGGCTGGTTTTAGAAGAGGCCAAGACATGAGGGATATTACAGCTAATGTTAGATGGATCTTAGCTAAAAGCAGAGAGTACCAGAAGAGTGTCTATCTGTGTTTCATTGCCTATGTAAAGGTGTTTGACTGTGTGGATCATAACAAACTGTGGCTGGCTCTGAAAAGAATGAGAATCTCAGAACACTTAATTGTGCTTATGCGAAACCTGTGCTTGAACCAAGAGGCAGTCATCAGAACAGCAATTAAACACTGCATGGTTCAAAATCAGGAAAGGTATATGTCAAGGATGTTTCCTATCTTCATACCTTTTCAATCTATATGCAGAACAAATCATCCAGGATACTGGGATCTATGAGGAGGAGTGTAGCATCAGGATTGGATGAAGACTCAACAACCTGCATTATACAGGTGACACAACCTTGCTTGCTGAAACTGAGGAGGGTCTGAAACATTTGCTGCAGAAGGTCAAGGCCTTTGATATGGATTGAAGCTGAACATCAAGAAAACAAAGATTCTCACCACTGGAGCAAGTGGCAGCATCATGACAGACAGTGAAGAAGTGGAGATTGTTAACAGCAACAACCTGCTTGTCTCCACAATCAACACTCCTGGGACCAGCATCCAGGAAATCTAACAATGAGCTACATTAGGAAAATCTGCTGTTAGGAAACTCTCCAGAGTACTGAAGAGCTATGATGTCAATCTAGACACTAAGGTGCGCTTGATTTAGGCTATGGTCTTCACAATTACTTGCTATGCATCCGAGAGTTGGATGATGACTAAGAATGATAGAAGAAGAGATGCCTTTGAGCTGTGGTTCTGGAGAAAAGTATTGAATATACCATGGACTGCCAGGAGAACCGTTTCATCCCGGAGTGGGTGAAACCAGGCTGCTTCCAGGAGGCAAAGATTTTGAAGCTTCATCTGACACACTTTGAACATGTTGCAAGGAGGGATCAGTCTTTGGAGAGGGACATCATACTTGGCATACTTGGAAGGTTGGAGGAACAGCACAGGGAAGGAAGACCCTTAATGAGATGAATTGACTCAGTGACTGGATGGGAGTAGGTGTGTCAGAGACAATGAGGTTGGCTCAAGATAGAGGAGGGTTGTACATAGAGTTGCTGGGAGTCACAAGAGACTTGACAGTATATAACAACAACAACAACATCTATCTATCTTGGATCTGCAATCAACACTTTTGGTCCCAGCAGTCAGGAGATCAAAAGATGTATTGCACTGGGAAATAAGGGACCTCCACAAATTACTAAGAACCAATGATGTCAGTTTGAAAATTAAGATGAACCTCATTCAGGCTATGATCTTTTTCATCACTTGCTATGCCTCTGAGAGCTGGACTATAAGTAAAGATAACAGAATAATTGATGCCTTTGAGCTACTGTCCTGCAGGGGGCAAAAAGAAACAGATATGTCTTGGAGAAAGTGCAGCCAGAATGTTCTACAGAGGCAAGGATGAAAAAGCTTCATCTCACATACTTTGGGCACATTGCTAGGAGAGGTTATTCCTTGGGGAGGAACATCTTGTTTGGAAAAGTGGGGGGGCCAACGAAAGAGAAGAAGCTCTTCAACCAGATAGATTGAAGCAATGATTGAAACAGTGAGCTCAAATGAGTCAGAGATGATGAGGATGGCACAGAATAGGACAGGGTTCAAATCTGTTGCTTACAGGGTCACTATGAGTCCTACTTGACTTGATGGCACCTAATTATCTATCTATCTATCTATCTATCTATCTATCTATCTATCTATCTAATCTACTTCTATTTTTTTTCCTAATCTACTTCTAGTTGTGCTTGCTTTTCTAGGGAATCCAGTCTAAGACATGGATAATCCTCAATCCTGCTTTAGCAATTTAGGGCAGAAGGAACTAGCAAAATCTATCTTTATCTTCCCCTCCCCCGCCCCCGCCAACTCCCACATAGAAAAGCCTCTATCTGGAACCTGGGATCACTTTAGCTGTGATTGGAGCTGTATGTAGTTGAAGAACAGTTTAATATTCTTTTTCTCCTTTATGCAGGACTCACATGAGTCCTCAGCTGCTATACAAAAGGTTGACAGTGTCGACTCAACCGCCTGTTTTGTGAGGAAAAGTCTTTCTGATCTGCTTTGATAAAGATTACAGTGAAAAGATTCCCTAAGACATGATTCTACCCTGCAACACATGGGACTCAATAGGCCTTTGTCTTACCAGTCTATCAGTTTGTCATACTGATAGATTATGTGTTAGCGTGATGCACAAAAGCTATGCTACCAGAACTTACAATATCAATAAGGTTACTCGTGGCATACAGGTTTCAGCAGAGCTCTCAGACTACGACTGTGAAGAAAGATCTACAAAAATACTACTGAAAATCCACAACAGTGTCCAATAAAGTGATACATGATGAGTTCCCTAGATTGGGAAGGAATTCAGAATACGCAGGGGCTATGACACTAGACCGAAGCAGAACAATAAATGATCGTGAAGATAGCACGGGACTGGCACCATTTCATTCTGCTGTGCCTGGAGTCATTATGAGTAGATGTAGATTGAACAGCAATTAACAACCAAAACCACTGCATCCCTTGCTATCACAATCTCTGATATGTAAGTGACCCAACCTTGCTTGCAGAAAACGCAGAACACTTAAAGTACTCACTGATGGAGCCTGTCACCAGCTGTAACTGGGCTCTCTGTGGAAAGACAGTTGGGGAGGTTCCTCCATAACGTGAACCAACAAACCTCTGCCTCCAACCCTGAGTCATAGTCAGCAGGAGGCTGACCTCAGCACAGAGTCCCTCGTAAGATGGCAGTTCTGAGTCTGTGCTATGTGTGTGTTGAATTCT